ATGGAAGAAATAGTGCAGAGGACCATAGGGGAAGGGAGGGAAAACTGAATGGGAAGAAATCAGAGAGGGAGGCAAACCATGAGAGACTCTGGACTCTGGGAACCAAACTGAGGGTCACAGAAGGGAGGGGGTCGGGGGATGGGCTATCTGGGTGATGGGTATGAAGGAGGGCACATGTTGTAATGAGCACTGCGTGTTATATACAACTGATGAATCACTGAACTCCACCTCTGAAACTAATAATACTCTATATGTTAATTAATTTAATTTAAATTAAAAAAATAATATATTTGTTACAATAAAAAAATTACTATTAGGTACCAATAAAATATCTACCCTTTTTCCCAAATTCTGTGTTATATTTTGTCATTGCCAAAATATAAAATAAAAATTTTAGGAAAGGACCCACTAAAAGCTGCCTTTAGTATTTCTACACCTCTGTCTGCTGCCGAAGCCCTTGGGAGATATTTTTAGAATTGTGAATTTGGTTTTCCTTTTGCCAGAAGCATTTGTTTATTCTGCTTTAACAACAACAGCATTAAGTTCATATGAGAATGTTGTATGTTTTTGTGATAAATGTCTTTACGCTTACTTCATGGGGGAAAGGCTGGGCCATGAGCTCAAGAGTCAGATGATGAAGCGTCAATCCCCTTATGGTCCTCTTGTCTCGGTGATGTCTGCGCTGTGGCCCCTCATCTGCCGGGAGAGAACAGGACGGCCTGGTCGGGGGCAGGACCCAGCAGGCTCTCAGAGAGCTTACAGCTGTGCCGTCCCCATCAGGAATAAATAACATCATCCCCCACCAAGTGCACCTGTGACTCTTCAGCCCTCTGCATGCTTAGTGAAGAATATGAAGACCACATCTAGCTTTGGAGGATTGCTGTTTTATGATAAGAGGTAGTCTTGGATCAAGTTCTAAGCAAAAAATAAAAACCAAACAAATCTCTGGGGACACAGCTGACTAGCTCCTTAACGACCTATTTGAGCAAGTCAAGCAAACTTGCAAGAGCCTCCCTAATGGACCATTTAAAAGAGCCGAATGACCAGCCAACACGGCATCCATGTGCGTCGTACCTTCACTGGAAAGGAATCAACGGGAGGGGATTTTCTTCTTCTCCTTCTTTTCCTTTTTTTTTCACAAAAGCACTTGGCACTTACTACCATTTTGAAAGGTAGACCTGACCTTTTCTCCCTGACTCAGTCTCTTTAAGTATGTACTTGAATTCCAGCAGAGTCAGCACACCGTGGAACATCAGCGTCAGGGGTACACGATAGTGATTCAACACTTCTTAAGTGCTCGGTGCTCATCCTGATGCATGTGCTCTCCATCCCCGCCCCCGCCCGGTGACGTCAGTGCGCTCATCCTGATGCGTGTGCTCTCCATCCCTGCCCCCGCCCGGTGACGTCAGTGTGCTCTCTGTACTTAAGAGTCTGTTTCCTATTTTCTCTCTCTCCCTCTCTGTTTTTCCCCTTTGCTCATTTATTTCTTAGATTCCACATGAGTTTGTTTCTCTGACTTATTTCTCTCCTCATTACACTCTCTAGCTCCGTGTTGTTGCAAATGGCAAAATTTCATTCTTTTTGATGGCTAATATTCCATTATACACACATCTTCTTTATCCATCCATTAGTCGATGGACACCTGGGCTGCTCCGTATCTTGGCTACTGTAGATAATGCTGCTCTAAACATCGGGATGCTTGTATCCCTCTGAATTAGTGTTTTTGTGTCCTTTGGGTAGATACCCAGTAGCACGATTGCTGGATCGTAGGGAAGCTCTATTGTTAACTTGTTTGCTATCCCAGACACTCGGGGTCACTGTGGTATGAGGTGCATTATTACCCTGAAGGGAGAAACAGAGACTCTCTTGTGTTTCTATTTCAGGGTCTGGGAGGACGTCTGAGCTTACGTATGTGGGATACGCCCAGTGAGAGCCCGTTCTATTCCAAACACAAGCACAAAGGCCTTAGCTGAAACACTGTCCGACCTTACATTCCAGAATGAGAGGAATATTCATTATGGGGAGCTGAAAAAACCCTGTTTTCTCCTCCGTATATCTCAAAATGGATATTTTCCTTATCTTCTATAGGGGTAAACAAGTACACATTTAGCCAAATATTTTACATAATTTTTACTCATTCTGCATTTTGGAACTGAGGTATATTTATTAAAACAAGGGAATCGTGTGGTTAGCACATGGCTTCACCAAAAAGCAGGAATAGTGTTTAGAATCAGAAGCTGAGGAATGTGCATAGGGCATATGGAGTAATTCCTGACTCTGAGTGTGTTTTCATGTGAATGACGTAGATTCTTTCTTTCATTATCAAGCTAAGTTTCTTGATTCGCTGATTTACGAGGCTCATGCAGATCTAAGTGGAGTCTAGTATCTTCCATCCATTTTCTATATGTTTTATCAGCCTTAAGGTCCAGCCTGCAGAGTAGTTCAATGCGCTTTTCTTCATAAGTTTTCATTTTTAAAATTTGAAATTAGGAAAAAAGGATTAAAAACTAATTTTTTAATTTTTTAAAATTCGTTAACATCTATTTCAAAGACATATCTACAAATTAAAGGTCTCACCTTTTTAGGTGTGATGTTCTTTTTTAAAGAATTCCTTTGTCAACATGTTTTCATAAACGGTTCCAAATTTTCTGTTAAAACTTTGACCTCAAAAAGGGCCAACATAGGGTGTTAATAGAAGAAACTGAGCAAAGCAAAAGTCGTTTCCTTGACACACTGTGGGTAAGTCTGTAACAACGGAAGATTCATGATCTGTGTCTGATTATCAACAGCAGATCAGCTCAGCCCAAAATCCAGCCCCAAAGAAAAACAGAAAGTAAAACAGAAAAGCCCAGAGTCATATTTCATACAAAGCATCTTATATGACAAGGCGATTATCTGTCTGGAACCAGTATGTCTGTGTCCTTATGAAACATGGAGCAGGGCTGGAAGTCCACACCCCACACTCACCGACCCAGTGCAGGCCTGCCTGCCACCTTTGTGCATGCATCCTGACCCCAAGCCCCCTCCGGCCGTGGGTGCATTGGCTCCTGGAGGTGCGTGAGCTGCGTTGGAGCAGGCTTCTGGCTCCTCATTGCCTGGCACCCACCGATCTTTCCACAAATATTTGTCGAATGAAGGAATCCAGTGCATTCACCTCGAACTTCCATGTTTTGCTCATAGAAGCCACCAATGAGCCTGGGTTGGGTCTCCTCGAATCTACAGAGTAGGGTCCTCAGTGATGCAGCGTCCTCTAAAACACATACTGTTCATCCCAGGGCTGTCGCCTGGTGAGAGCTTCACAGAGTTTTTACTGGGCGTTTCTACCAACTATCTCTCTGTTCGGCTCAGCTGTGTGTTTCCTGTGAGGCTTGTGCCCTTGTCCCCCAACGGTCAGCCTGCGGACCTGGGGCTTGTCCAGCCTGATGCTAGGATGCGCTGGAAAACGCCTAACAAGAAGACCTCGTGGGGCCGTGGCACTCTCACGTCTGTCAGGGACTTTGACACAAACAGAATGTGCTCGTCAGCGGCCTCCCACTGTCAGCACTGCTATAGTTTATAATGTGTTCACGTGGATTTCGTGCATGAACCCAGGAGGCACACGGTTTGCAGGGCGAGGGCGGACAGAGCGCGGCAGGCACTGGGTTGAATGCGTCCTGCCTCACGGGGTTCACGGAGTGCTCCCTCCACCGCCCCAGCTGGTGCTCGGGATGTGGGGTCAGGGCTATTCCTCCCCATACCTGGAACACGGTGGCAAATTCTCTCACGGGATCAAGCCTTGCTTGTTGTGAAGTCAGAGCTGAGGTGGGGCTTCTGAGAGCACGATGGCGGTGTCCAGGGATGCCCGCGGCGGGCACGGCATGTCCGGCCACTTTGTTGTGATTATACCTGAAATGAACTTAACATCGTGTGTGAGCTGTGCCCCAATTAAAAATAAATAATAAATAAATCATTTGCTTGCCAAACCATGAGAAAATAGAACCTGGATCCAGAGCTGAATAAATCAGTTTTACATCCAAAAAATGTCATGTAGAAAACAGGGAGGGATGGGTTAGGAACTATCGCTGCTTGTTCTCTTGCTGCAAACTCTGAATAAGGTAAAATAATAATAATAATCAGAACTGGCATGAGCTGCCAGACTCACACCTGCTCGGAAAGAAACTAGCCTCCTCTGTGTGTCTGGGTGGGTGAAGACCAGGTGGCTATGCCATCACCCAGGGGCAGCTAAGAAAGTACAGATGGGTTTTTGTTACAGACCCCAGTGAACTAAAGGTTTTAAAAATCAGTTCCCACAAACTGTCCACAGGGATAGAGAAATAAGCCTAGCGCCTTTGCTTAGTGTTTCGGGTTTCACGGACACATCTGGGGTATCCTGAGTGTCGGTTTAGGTCCTGGCGAGAATCAGGAGTTTGCTGGTTAGTCAAAGGCCTTTGTGGGCTGGAACCACGTGTCTACACACACGGAGCTCAACTATGTACAGTGAGAGGCTCTCAGGAACTTTCTTGTGTGGCCAGGTCATTCATTTTAACTTCAAAGACCGAACATAGCTAGATCCCCTTCCTTTGATAAGGAAATGTTGGAGCTCAGGAAGATTCAGACCTGGAGATGAGAAAAAGTTTATGTGGACCATGTAAAGCTGTTCCTGATGTTGAAAACCGTTCCCTGCAGATGTCCTTCCTGTTAGTGCAGGACGCGGCCGGGCAGCGTCCTGCCTCCTGGTCTCACACCAAGCTCGGCTCGCTCACCTCTGTTCGCACCTGGGGCTCATCCAGCGCCAGAAGCAACCCGGCCTCAGACCTGGGCAGAGAGGCTCATTGGCCTGTTTCCTCACCCGCACAGTGAGAACAAAGATGGACCTGCGCCAGGTAGGGGGTGAGCTGAAAGGGGTCACGTGTGCACAGCCCTTAGCAGAGTCTCCAGCACCAACAAGTTTCTGATCAAAGAGATCTGCAGGTGGTTCCTACTGATATCTAATTAAAATGCAAAACTGAGATTTAGGATTAACCACATCTCCTGAATGAAAATAATTTCCCACCCAGCACCCTGACAGCCTGGCGGGAGGCACAGTCCATGCCCTTAACAGGTCCTACTTCCAAACTAGGGCAGTAATTGTCATTTTACCGCCCCTCACCCCCTGCCATCTGCACGGGGGCCTGACGGGTGCAGCCTGACCTGTGGGGGCAGGACAGGTGCAGCAGGAATGCAAAAGGAAGGACAAGGGGCCTGTGGCCACCGTTCATTTCATACAAAAAGACTCTTGCTGTTTTTTAATTTACAAAAGTTGTGCATCTTTTCAAAAAATTGTATGTTAATTTTTGAAAAGATGCACTTTTTTAAAATGCACAACTTTTTGATGCTAAACTTTAGCATCAAATCTTCCTGGGAAAATATTATTCTTTTCATTATGATCCAGTAAAGGTACACTTTTAAAATCTACAGTTTTCATGAAAATAAACAAAAAAATATTTTCACGATTTCTTCACTCTTTGGTGACGAATACCTCCTGTGTTTGAGTGAGTCTAGGCTCTTTGGCATAGGTGACGAAACAGGGAACCCATTAAATCTGGAGATGAGAACAGCCACACCCGAAGAGACGCTGCAGACGCGGGGGGGGGGGGCGCCAACCTGGTGTTTGGCTGTAAACTCCACTCCTAATACTGACGTTGACATCTACAGAGAAAATTGTTGCCTGACGCTCTGTGAGCACCATTCTTTTGGAATATTAGTTAAGATCCACTTTAAATACTCTGCCTTGGTTAGTCTTCCACAGAAGCCATGACAGTGTAAATAGGAATCCTATATATAACGCACGCGTCATATACAGATATCGTCTACGTTGTCAACGTGTCTAATATGTGATTATAAACATGTGATATATTACAAACCCAAACAGCTCCTTCTTCCAGACACCGACTGACAAGGGGTGGGTAGGCTGTAGGGAGTGGGCAGTTTTCACTGAAGCCACCCCTGGAGGGATGCTGGGCAGTCAGTGCCGTGCACCTGCTTTCCTGCAGGAACCATCTACCTGTTCTCCTGAACTGTCTCCTGACGGTTCCGTGCTTCCTGTCCTCGAAGCCGTGAGACATGAGGATGTGATCTAGGACCACAGTCCGTCTCTGTAAAAGAAGATTCAGGAGTCCGTGAGTCGCTTTTAATGACAAAAATAGAGGACCTTCTTAGAAGTAGTAAACAGTATAAAAAACAAGGAAACTACAATAAAGGCTATATTTCACGAATTAGGAAAGTAAATTAGCACTTAAATGATGTGTTAATTATATGTTTATAAAAATTTAGTAAACTTAAAAAATTGAAATTAATTTTCTTTCTGACAGATTTCTCCTACTCATTTCTCAAATTAACACCTTTACTCAGCCCCTCCTTGAGAAAAAGGGGAAGTTAATGACCCAAATGCAGAGGAAACCCTTCTCTTCCAGAGAAGAATCCAAGTGGTGGGCTCTCGGGATCTTCTATTACATATTCTATGGAAACACAATCTGGCAATTAGCAATGTGGGAAGCAGAGCGCATGGTGCAGAGCATGCTTCCGTGTCACTCAGAGAGACGCCCGAGCAGCACCCTGGCCCGTCAGATCTAAGAACAACGACCCATCTCTGCAAACTAGTGACATATTTTATTGGTATCACAACTATAGGCTCATTATAAAATCACACGAAGTTGCAATATTTGCAGGAAAAAGTCATTTCTTAAGAAAATAATTTAATGTTCAGTGCTCAACAGAAGCACTTTCCTTGCGATGCTCTGGCGGTCCATGAACGTGGGGTCCACGGAGGCCACCTTTGCCGCTAGGAAGGCGTGAATGCAGTGCAGGACGGCCGTCAGGTCCGGGAATTCGAGCTCCTGGAAGAAAAAATGAAATGCTGTAAATCTTAGAAAAGCACGTTACAGAATATTTAACGGATTCTATGCTTTTTGAGCTCCAAGAAAGTCAAGTACAAACGTGCATCAGATAAGGAAGGTTTAGGGTGGGAGGCAGAGTGTGATCAACACAACCACAGACACAAAGGTACTGCTTCTGCATGGAAGTCCAACAGGGAGCCTGTCTCCTCACATCTCACAGGGTAAAGCTCCCGCCTTCCATTTGGGCCCTGACTCCATCTGTGCGGGGTCGGGGGTCACATGACCTCAGTCTTGCCCTATTTTTTTTTTTAAAAGATTTTATTTATTTGACATAGAGAGACACAGCGAGAGAGGGAATACAAGCAGGGGGAGTGGCAGGCAGAGGGAGAAGAAGAAGCAGGCTCCCAAGGAGCAGGGAGCCCGATGCGGGACTCAATCCCAGGACCCTGGGATCATGACCTGAGCGGAAGGCAGATGCTTAACGACTAAGCCACCCAGGTGCCCCCAGTCTTGTCTTATTGACACCGGCCGGTCGGCGCCCCAGTGATGCTGTGATAAGGATTTCATGCCAAAGATGGTCTTCCCTCTCTCCGCAAACCCCACGCAGGTCCCCACTACGTCCACAAGCAGGTCGGCGTGGACCTGCAGCTGACACAGGCATGAGCAAACCGTCTCAGTTAGGGTGCCGCGGGTCATCAGTGTCCTAACGCTTCTGAGGGTGAACGTGAAGCTTCTCCGGCTGTCACCCTGCTCTACCCGTGGGGAAGGAGGTTTACATATCTTGTTCTGAGTTTTCTCTTCTACTTTGGCATAATAAAATTCCAAAATAATCGAAAACATCAAAATTCCTTTTAAGAGAACTGCTATCTAATTGACACCTTAACTAAATTTTGTCAAAACTGTCTTGTGCTCTCAGCTGTTGAGAGGATATTAGAAGGAAAGCTCCAACAATGTAAGGACAGCAAGGACAGCAAGCTGGCTCGTCTAGTCCCAGATGTACTCCTTTCCGCACCTGAAAAGGCAGGATCTCTGATATTTTAATTTGGGGGCAGGACCTCCGGGGCATGAGGGAGCAGTCATCCCTCCCACCCCCTGGGCAAGGACATCCTTCCCCACCACCCATCTTAGCTTTTCTGAGCGGCTCCTCTTTGTGACTCAAGATCTGACATCTCAAAAACGACTTCATGCTTCCCTTAAACATGACGTCCACCTCGGTCCCCTCCTGGGACTGTGTATGCCTGTGCCTTCCTTCGGGAAGTTGCTCCATTCATGGGATGGGGAGAGGATGCAGGTGGACAGCCAGTGTCCTGGGGAGGCCGACATGGGCCCGGGGAGCGGGAGCAGGGTCTCCACGTGGGTACATCCAGGTGTGGAAATGGCGGATCTGCCAGCACATGGAGAGTGTCAGCAGGCAGGTGCAGTCAGCACAGAGGACACCTGCTCACGGAGGGGCAGACCAGGGACCCTTGTGACCTGCGTGACCCCGGCCCCTGTGCTCCCAGCCACCCCGACTCCAGCTACAGAAACCACAGGAGCCCCGTTACTGCATTCCACTTTGAATTAAGTTCCTCTTTTGCATGCGAGTGAATCTTAACCTTGACAGCTACGGGATTGATTGATTATTGGTGACCGATCACTGTTTATTTTCACTTTGAGTAATGAGTAACGTTCAAGAAACTGAGGTACATTCTCCTTCGAAAGTGTCCTAATATTCACACGGTTACTGCAGAATTACCTTACCCAGCGGCCCTCCCATCCCTGGCAGAATCCAGGAGATGCCCAGACCCCGTGCAGAACTTCAACGCTAGCTGACCCCCTTGCCCACACCCTGAGACTCGACTCAAATCCCTCAGTCATGGTGACTTATTCCTGGAGGAAAGGAAAGCCAAGTTACATGACAGAAGAACACGAGGTTCTTGCAAATTTCACACATACTTAATTCAATTTCTGTGTTTCCAAGTCATAATTACTGAGCTTCTAGAAGGGACATTTTGAAAAAAGAGCTATAATGTCCACATCATTTATGCTTCAGGATCTTGCAAATTGGAAATTGCTTCTCAGGTTCCCCACACACTTACCAATAGGAACACCTGGACCGGAACAAGGAGCCACCACCACCAGCATGAAGGTCAAATCCAAACCTGATGTCCATGGTTTCTGATCCCACATGTTGAAGCCACACACAAAATCTCCAAAAGAGTCAGGGGACAAAGTGAAATTACACCACTAAACTCCACACAAAACCTCAGTCCACAGTGTTGAAATCCAGGCAATTCGATATAAAGCCTCAATTCTGACTTTTCCAGATCCTGAGTGAGGCTCCCTTTGAGAAACTCACACAACATGGGCGATTCAGGCCGAGACCAAGGTGTCTATGGCGTGGCTGGCTTCCTAGCCATGTGTCACTGCAAGGCTCTCTGGATGACATGTCTGCAGCTAGACGTGGACGGCCCTGCTGACTTCTGACCGCTCGCCCACCAGGCAGCCAAGGCCCGACACGGAGAACCCCCACGCGGGGGGAGAGTGACGTGGGAGAGTGATGGAATCCACAGAGCCGCGCTTCCCTGAAGGGCCCGATGGTGACAGGTGCCGTGAAGTAGGAGTTCTCTGTTCACAGTTTGGAAACAGATTAAAGAAAGTGTGGGTTACTGGGGGCTTCGCATGGCCCTACCGAGTCAATCACGTTGTCTCTCTCTGAGCATGATGCCTGCGGCTTTGTCCCTCAAACTGGTTTGACTCTGTGAAGACAGGGCGTCTTGGAGGCCTGTTCGGCTGATGAATGGATAAAGGACACGTGGTCCATCCGTACAGGGGAGTGCCATCCTGCCTTACAAAGGAAGGGATCCAGCAGGGATGAGCTTTGGGGACACTGTGCCGGGTGGAGCGAGCCAGTCTCAGAAGGACAGGCTCTGCACGATCCCCACACGAAGCAGGGAGATTCACGGCCATGGACACAGGAGGGAGTGCGTCCCCCCCATGCCGTCTCCCCGACAACCACACCAGCGCTTGGGGCTTAAGGGATCCTGAAGGCACACCATCGTCTGGAAGAAGGAGGCCTCACCCCTTGCGGCAGTGCCCGGGACCTTCTCCGAGCTGTGTGCTCACCCTCGAAACCCGCAGCCTCACACGTGTTCTCTTCTCACACATGGTCCAGTCAATCCCATCTACAGCCCACAGCTGTGCCAGGCGGTGACAGTGTGCGCGCCTTACAGACCGGAGGGCTGAGGGCCAGAGCGCCAGCTGCACATCCCTGGGACAGACATGCCTGCCTTCCACCCCAGGTCCTCCCGCTGCACCCGGCCCTTTCCTCTGCAGCATGTTTGTCCTAATGACCTAGATTTTTATAAAATGTTTTTAAGTATTTCATGGTGGCCAAAATAATGACTTGGAATCTGAGTCACAGCTTGTATGATTAGCAACTTTTGAATGTTTTAAGACCTAGAACTTTCTCATAATGAAGTAAAACTTTTAGGAAGCCATGAGGATCTATACTGGGCTCCTCAAAACATGAATAATGAGGTCACCCGGACTTGGGAAACATTTCTTCTTCCTCAGTCTGCGCTCCGGGCCTGCGGCATTGCTCACAAGATGACACTTCCCATCAGCGCACCGACGCTGAAATCCCCTGTGTGTCCTCCATAAATCTTCTCCACTAGAAATCACATCTCCATCCACAGCCCATCTTGGAGCACAAACTGCCTGGCATTTGTCAGAAAGTGTCCGAGCTGACGGACACGCTTTCTGATGAGCGGTGGTCAGCCGCAGGCGCCGGTTCCCCTAACTGCTCCCCGGGCGACTCTGCAGGTGCGGGAGCCGCGGATGGAGCGTGAACCAGGGAGACAGGGAGCGGCACTCCCGGGGACAACGATCAGGGCCTGCGCAAGGACGGGACTGAGGGCGGTGACGGTCGGCAGGAGGGACGGGGACGGGCACCACAGGGCTCCTGGTGAGCGGTCAGCCGGCAGAGTGCGGGGCACCAAACTCCCAAACGCCCAGAGGGCAGATTATGGCTGGAAAGAGGGAGTCTCCCTGAGGTCCTGCTTCCCTGGGACGGTGGGGCCCCAGGAGGCGACAATCCAGCCTGTCCGCCATCAGGTCGGACGGAACCTGTTCAAAGTGCCCTCCCGACACCCGCGGCTCTTGGCCCAGTCCCGGGTGGAGTTTGCCGGTCCCCCTGCGCCCTCTCTGTCCAGTGCGGGTCACTCACTTGGCTTCCGATCTGATTTCCTTGAAGAAAGTATTCGTCCGCGACCTCTGCATGCCCCCGTGACTCACCTCTCCTGCTGCTGCCTCTCCCAGACGTAAAACCTCCTCGCTCCCTTCTCTGGCTCACACTTAAACCACCTTTCCCTCTTCAGCAGATCAGGCAGTTATAACGTCATAAATCTTATTTATACGGAAGCTCAGTGGTATTACCTCACCAAAATGTTAAAAAGTCTGACTTCCCCAAACAGCTCTGACGATCCCTTCTGCCTGCGTCCTCTCGCCAGAGACACAGATCTTAAAGCCGAGCGCCTGCTAGTCCAGGGCCATCTGCACAAAGTGCAGCCTGGAGAGATCGCTCGCGCCGCAGGGAGGCTGCCGGGGCGCAAGGGGCACCTTTGGGCCTTTGCTCTGCTCTGATAAACATTTTATCTGGAGATTTCCACGTTCTGAGGAAGATACATAACTCCCATAGAGACATCAGCAACGTGAATCTCCTGAAAAGACAGGAAAAAGTTTCCCTCGTTCTGAAATTTGTATTAGAAATCCCACATAGACAAAGAATAATCGGAACACCAGGGAAAACATGCTCCCATGGTCTGGGGGCCGCCAGTAACTAACGAACACGTGTTAGCCAGTCATTGCCTCTCGTCCACCTTGGATGGGCAGGTGGACGTGGCTCCCTGGCAAGGCGGTCCCCGCGGGCCTGGGTGCATCTGCCCTCCTGCCTGAGAAAATGCTGCCTCGTGTTCACTTCTGCTTTTCTCTGCCAACATCTGTAATGTTTCTCTGCGAGA